ACAAACGTTCTAAAATCAACATTAAGACAAGCGTGGGTAAGTGATTGTCCCAAATTGCCGTATCTTCAAGAAAGGGTAAATGGTTGATGCCTTCCACCAATACATGCTGTTAGGGTACTAATAGATACGAGTTGAACGCTGACCACAAATTCGTTTTTTTGTTTGCCGAATTGGGTAATTATGGACTTTTTTTTCGCCTAGCACGAGACCATTTGTTGCTTAGAAGTTTAGAAATCAATCTTAGTCAACTACGCCAAAGCAAAATCTTCTATATGGTATTTTTCTGATTAGGGATGGGCTTTCCATGGTATTAAAATAGAATATTGAGGTTTCAAACAATGAAATCAGTCAACTCATGCAGGAGATTTCCGCAAATTCTTTTTAAGATTCGTTCCGCAAATAAAAAACTCAGGAGACTATCATTTTAATCTGAATACCATTCACCCTTTTTGAAATGACTGTAGTCCAAATACCTTTTACTTATTAGTACGAAGAAAACCGAGTTTGGCGAAAATGAGAGTATGAGTTAGCTTTTTTTAACACAATGTTCAAATTTCATTTGAGCATTTGAGACTTCGTAGTCCATTGGGGTAAATGAGTTTGTCGGCACATCAAAGTCAGTAAACTTTGCAAACCTTTAAGACAAAGAAAATGCTCCTAATGAATCAAAGGTCTTGCCTTTCATTATTCTTCTCTTTCTGACTCATTGCAATAGACAATGTATCTTTGTCGCTGAGCATTGGAACATGGGCTAATTCCATCTTGCGGACTACGCCCACCGTCATTTAATGTTACGTAACGCAAATGACTACCTGTGTGTATGCGTAGACGTAGGACAGGTGGTTGCGCTATACGCGCATGGTTACTCAAAGACAAAGCCGCAATTATAGCATCATTATCACAACGAACTGTCTCTTTTGTACAAAACACAAGCATTAAAATATTTCGCTGGGGTTGTTTTAAGTCCTTTAAAGGCTACAGAAGAAATTTCTAGCAAAGCTAAAGCACGTCATTGTTCCTGTGTTTTTTCGA